ACCAAGCTCTTTTTACTCTGATATTTGTGTTTTGATTTAATAATTCATGCAATGATAAATCTTTAGATTTTAATAAAGGAAACTTTTGATCGATTACTTTTAGAGCTACATTACATAAAGAATTTTTGGAAAAAATACCGTGTTAACATAACGACTTTGTTTTAGAATACGTATTTTCTATCATTACTAATTTATTTTGTAATATATCCAAACAAAATGTCCCTACTATGAACAGTCTGAAACAAAAGCTTTCTTCAGTCTGTTAGCATGTACTAAAGTTTTCTTTTTATTATTTAATAAAATTGTAAAATTAACAGGTGTTCATTTTTTAAATAAACTAAGTCTCCTAAATTGAAATCTATATTATTAACTTTCTTATCATAATACTTTTTATTAATTTCCTTAGAATCTATTGAATGCTGTTTTGCCAACTGATTGCTCTTTTGCAATGTTAATTTTGATTCGTCTAGATAATTATCATAAGTATACTTGAATTCTGGTGTTCTAGTCAAACAAGAAGGAATGTTAGCTTTCTCAGCGAATACTAATTCATGAGAGGTAAATTTAGTGATAGAATGAATTGTGGTATTATATGAGAACATCGATCCCAATCGGTCTGGTCTTGATTTATATAATGTTTTAAATAATCAGCTAACGTGGCATGACTTCGTTCCAAAGCACCATTGCTTTGAGGATGATACGCGGTACAATTAATTTGTTTAATTTTGAATAATTTAGATACTTCGTGTAAGAGTTTTGAAGTAAAGTCTCGACCTTGATCTGTTAGAATGGATGTTGGAATGCCAAATTTACAAATAAAATTTCTTACGAAAACATCAGCTATTGTAATTGCTTCATGATTTGAGATAGGATAAGCTTGTGAAAGTTTTGTCAAATCATCTTGAAGAGTAAGTATGTATTTATTTCCAAATTCGATAAAGGGTAATGGTCCTACTATATCTAATGATATTCTTTCGAATGGTTTATCTGAAGTGGAAGTAATTTCCATGGGTTTATGAGTCTTTTTTCTAACTTACTTGTTTTTCTGACATTACTCACAATGTTTAATAAAATTTTGAATGTCTTTTTTCATATTGCACCTTTTAAAATTTTGTTTAATCCTGCTATAAGTTCTATGAAATCCAGTGTGTCAGGACTAGGATTTATTAAAGTATTGTGATAGATGGTTATTACTATATCAGATTTTCTAAAAATATATCTAATTATGGCTCGAATTTTGTTCCAATTTAATTTATCAAAGCTGTCACCAATTCTAGGTAAAGCAATTGAATTAATTTTTTCTATTTCTAAAGTTTCTCTTAATTTAATTAAAATATTAAAAATGTCTTCATATTCAGTTCTGTCCCAATAATTTTCTTTCAAAAATAGATAATAAAAGTTGATGTTCTTTTCTTTAATAGCAATTATCTTATCTACCTCATTATGATCTAGTTGTGTTCTTAATAAATTTAAGTGTTTTGGATATTAGGAAAATATATCATTAAGAAATTTATTATTGACTTCTAAATCTTTAGAAATAGGAATAACTGTGTGTCCTTTATGTGATAAAAAGTTATCATTACTTTCATTTAAATTATCAGCTAACGTGGCATGACTTCGTTCCAAAGCACCATTGCAATAATTTTCTTTCAAAAATAGATAATAAAAGTTGATGTTCTTTTCTTTAATAGCAATTATCTTATCTACCTCATTATGATCTAGTTGTGTTCTTAATAAATTTAAGTGTTTTGGATATTAGGAAAATATATCATTAAGAAATTTATTATTGACTTCTAAATCTTTAGAAATAGGAATAACTGTGTGTCCTTTATGTGATAAAAAGTTATCATTACTTTCATTTAAATTATTATAAGTAATTAAAGTATGTTGAAATTTTTGCAAGAATNATTCCGCTCGATTTAAAGTCCGACTAGCATATGCTATGGGTAAGTCATTGGGATATTCCCCTTGTGATAAAACAGACCCGATAGCATAATTGCTTGCATCTGTAGTTAAAATGAACGTTTTACTGAAATCTGGAAACTGTAAAATAGGTTCGGAACAAAGAATAGTTTTTAAAGATTCAAATGCTTATTGTTGTTGGCTACTCCAAATGAATTTTGCATCCTTCCTTAGAAGTGAAGTTAAAGGTTGAGTTAATTTACTAAAATTTTAAATAAAACGCCTATAATAACCAGCTAAACCAAGGAATGACTTAATTTCGGAAGGATTTTTAGGAATGGGAAAATCTTTTACAGAGGATATTTTCTTAGGATCTGGTTTGACACCTGAATTTGTTATTAAATGTCCTAAATACATGACTTCGCGTCTTAAAAATTCACATTGGTCTGGTTGTATCTTTAAATTATAATCTGAAAGTTTTTGAAATATTTTCTTTAATTTACGATTATGATTTTCGAGTGTATCTGCATGAATGACAATGTCATCTTAATAAACAAAACTTTTTAATTCATTTAAACCTGATAGTACTGTATTCATTAGTCTCTGGAAAGTCGCGGGAGCATTCTTTAAACCAAAAGGCATTCGATTCAAATGATAGTGACAAGTAGGAGTTGAAAAGGCTGTCTTTTCTGCATCTTTTGGATTCATTTGAATTTGATGAAAGCCTGACGTTAAATCTATCGTTGTAAAATATTTTGAATGACCAAGTTGATCTAGGATTTCGGTTATATTTGGAAGAGGATAACTATCGCCTACAGTAATTGAATTTAATTTCCGATAATCGATCACGATACTCCACTTTCTTTGGCCAGATGCATCTATTTTCTTAGGCACAATTCAAACGGGACTGTTCCAAGGAGAGGTAGAGGGTTGGATTATATTTTGTTGGAGCATTTTTGTAATTTGCTTGTCTACTTCTTCTTTTAAGGATTCTGGATAGCGGTAGGTTTTGGAATTTATCGGAACGTTGGATGTGACCGGAATTTCATGCATTATAGCGTCCGTAAAGGTTAAGTTATCACCTTCTAAGAAAAATATATTATTAAATTCACAACAAATTTTAACAATTGATTCCTTTTCTTCCCCGTTCATATGATCGGTTCTTAATAAATTTTTTATTTTATCTAGTCTAGACGATGTGGAGTTTTTGTTTTTGAAGAAGAATTCGAATTGGGTAAAGTTTCTAAAGTAACATCTAACTTATTTATTTTTATTTCATGTTCATTTGTATTTAAAATTGTAGTAACAGCCGATGAATCCGGATTTACGTTAACTATACTATTACTTAAATATACACCATTTTCAACCTCTAAATTTGGAATGATACCTTCTTTGATGGAACTATTTAATATATTGACTCACTACGAGGTTTTAAGATAAAGATATTGCAATTAGAACATAGAGATTTTGAATTTGAATAAGACATTATAGAATTAGAACTAGAAGATTTAGTATTAAAGTTTGATATTGAATTAGAAGATTTAGTGCTCGAATTAGAAGATTGCAGGTGATAAGAGTCTGAAATAGAATTGGAATTAGGATTAGGAGTAGAATTAGAATTAGGTGAATTTGATTTGGCATTGTAAGAATTTGTCTCATAAGATATAGAACTTTTGGAATTTGAGTTAGACTTTGAATTTGAGTTTGAATTAAAAGATTTAGAACTTGAAATTGTATTAGTTTCATGTAAAGAAATAGTGTTTTGTTTTACATGAAGAGGAATAGAAATATTTTTATACAATAATTGATCCTTTTCATAATTAATTTTTATATTAAATTGTTTTAAGAAATCGTTTCCTAAAATGCCATCGCAATTAATAGGAAAGGAATTGGATACGGCGTGAAAAGGATGTGTTAGGATTTTGTCTCCGAAAGACAGATCTAGGAAGGAATAGCAAATGGTCTGATAAGGATTTCGTACATTATCTATTCCCTTTAATATTATTTTGTTATCTTCGTAACAAAGAGTGGATGGTTTTAATGATGATAATTTAATGAGTGAAATATCAGCACCCGTGTTGACTAGAAATCGATTGATTTTTGAATTCAATTGATCGACTGCTAAATCGACATAAGTGGTTACTGATTTCAAATAAATTTTGGCTATTCTCGAGGTGGTTCGGCCTGGAATGATTGTGCTATCCTCGTCCCGGCCGTAGGACGAGGATTTTGAAAGTTTAAATTTGAATTTTGATTTCCCTTAAAAGATTTGTTATTATTATTTTGATTTCTCATCCTATTATTATACTCTCTTTTCCTACATTCGTTTATTAAATGCCCTACCTTTTTGCAATATGCACAAGTTTTAGTTTGGTTGTGATTTAAATTCCCTTTATTTTGATTTTGAAATTTATTGTTTAAACGAGTTGGGTTACTATTTGACAAATTTTGAGAATTTTGAAAGTGCCTTATGTTAGGATTTAAATTATTTTTGTTATACCTACAATTAAAACTTGTATGCCCTGACTTGTTACAAAAAGTGCACAATTTTGCATTAGAATTGTTTATATTTTGATACTTTTGGATCTCTAACCTAGATTTTTGTTCTTGTTCCTCATTAATGGCTATTGCAATTGCATCTTCTAATGAAATTGGTTTTTAAGATTTTACTATTAGTGATAAATTGTTTGTTAGTCCTGTAACAAAGACATTTGGAGCTTGATCTTTTAACAAGTTAACACATGCCTCTCTTGCATCTCTACCTAAATTAGAATCTAAAGAATTAATTAATTTGATATAACAGTTTTTTACCTTATTGGCATAAGTGATGACATTTTCGTTATGGTTTTATTTACAACTATTTAATTCTAGTTGCCACTGACCTACTGTACGTTTCTCAGCGTATGCATCTAGAAGATGATTTTTCAAGGTGTCCCAATCTCGAAAAGATCTATTACGAATGAGTGCACGGGCGTTGTCTGTTATCTTTGTTTCGATTATTGATTTATATTCCGGTCTCACTAAAGATATTGTTTTGTCACAGTTGTCTATAAATTCGAAGAGTTTAGATTTGCTACCGTCGAATTTAATTAACATTTTCTCAGCTAGTTCTAAAGATATCTGAGATTGCGCAACACTAACACTAGCAGGACGAGATGTATCGGCGTTCATTTTGAAGAATTATATGGTGATACAGCGTAGACAAATGTTTATAAGAATAATTGTTTAACACTTACAGGATATACGTGAAGATACTTTTCATACTCTCGTTTTCTTCTTCTGGTTGGTTTCCAAAATTTCTTCTACTAGGTCCTGTTGTATTTAAGGCTTCGCCACCGTCCAAGATGCAGACTTTGTTTCTTTTCTCGAAGTTCTTAGACGTTACAACTGATCCCACTCCTGACACCAAATTTTTCTTGTGATGGAATTCAACCAGGAAGTTTGAAGAAAATAATGTTGCACTTTTCACTTATATTTTTATTAAAATATAGGACAGGTTAAACTTTATACACAAAATAACACTTACAGAACAGTAGACAGTAAATAATTTAAACAAATTATTATGACCCTGTTACTTTTGAAAATTCGTCACGTTCAACTGTTTCATATTCGTTGCCATTATGAATGGCAGCACTACCAGTAAATGTTGAATATTAGACGATGTTATTCGGTTGCTGCGTTCGGTTATCCAATTGGGATTGCTACTTTGGCCTCTTGTCGTTATTTCAATATTAGAAATATGATTCACAGGTATTTGTATATGTGTCTTTAAGAAATGTTCCACTTTTCTGTGTACTTAGTAGGACACATGTTGGTCTGTGATATTTCTGGATCATAGTCTGGATCAACGAGCGGTGTAGGATTTGCATTGCGCTTTATTTTCCTGAATAAATTTCACCTGCACTTGCATTTATCCCGCAAGGTCATCCTTTGGGCCGTGAATTTTTTTGTGTACTTACCTGGATTTCTTTTTATGACCGCACGATGGACTACGCTTGCATATTCTCCACTGTAATTGAATGAAATGTCTGCCGCTTCGCAGCGTGCTTGGTATGATCCCCTCATAGAAAAGCTAATGCGTTTGCCCCCTATAAATTTTGCTACCAATGCATTATAGCATTCTGATATATTGGAGTCCATGTTCAAAATTAAGTTTGACGCTTGCAATGTTAATCTGCTGGTTACCGACATTATTTCTTTCCATAACCCATACGACTTCATTTCAACAACTACGACAATATTTTTGTCACGGACTGTTTCACAAAAATATTGAATTTTTTTGCAGTTTTCATGTTCGCTGAAAATATGACTTATTGTATTTCTTATTTCAATGTTTTCGAAGATAGGTTTTTCTTGATTTTTTCGGTGAGAAATAGAAGAAACAACAGCAGTACGAATTTTGAATACTTTGGACAGCAGCAATTGTCGCAAACGAACTGGAACTACCTGGTTTGTGGTACTGATCCTTTTGGTTGTAATTTGTCTAAGTTTGTGACAAAAATTTCACAGAAGGAGGTTTCGGCATTCAATTTTGCGGATGTTGACTTGATGTCCATATGGTTTACAGCCCTGCAATTTCTTATATACGCTACTGTCTGTCTCCAACAAGTACTGTATATTTTAAGCCGTGCATTGTCACACTTTCTTTGAAGCCTTCCGCAATAATATCTGCCCCCATACTACTTGAACTGCCGTTCCAGTTTTTACAACAGTTGTGTTGTACTATGCCCTTTTCACCCCCATATTTTGCACATAAAGTACAGTACTTATTTCTAATGCCTAAATGTACGACATGATTAATTTATTGATATTATTATGACAAGACTAATCTACATACATATGTACTTATGTAGGAAATTCCGGACTTAACAGACCCAAACCTGGAGCAGTAGTGAGAAACTGAGCATACTTTTGTCAATATTGGTCCAAAGTTCGGCCAATCTTCATATGTCAATATCTAATACATTAACGTTTTACCAAGTTTGGTCCAATACTGGAGTAGCCAAGTATTGGCTTGTCAATAGTAGTACAATACTTAACCAAACTTCAAATGTCAAGGCTAGGTTTCTTAACGTTTCGTCAAGTTTGGTCCAATACTTGGATGGCAAGTATGGGTTTGTCAATACTGGGCCGGTCAAGCTTCGAGTGTCAAGGCTAGTAATATATATATATATGTTTTATTATATCCAATACTAGGCAACGAAGTACCGGCCAAGATGGAAAGCGAAGCAGTTGCTCAATCTTGGATGAATTTTGTTCATCAAGTCTTGGCATAATGTTAGCTGCTCAATATTGAGTTAATATTGTTCAGCATGTTTTAGCACAATATTATTTATCTAATGCTTGCTTAATAGTGTTCATTAAACATTGGTATAATATTTTTCAACAAGTCCTTGCCCAATACTAGCTGCCCAATTTTGGGCTAATATTATTCATCAAATCTTGACTCAATATTGCTGCCCTATCTTAGGTTGACCCAATATTAATTGCTAATCTCGAACCAAATATGCACAATTTTGATTGGATTTGTCGTAATTTCCTACATAGGTACTTGACCCTGATGCATCGATTAAATTTCGATGTTTTTATCTAGGTAATCTTTAGTTTCAAGGAATTATGTACACGTATTAACTATATAAAAAATTGTCTTTAACCTGTCATGTTATGAGTATGGATTTTGATTATTGCTGTTACCTAAATAAAGAAGTTTGCCAGTGCGCTTTCCAACTATGCATGCTACGCCAGAACTAGCATCATAATTTGTTCTATAGGATCTCTTGCACCAGGCTCCATCTGCCACTACTGCAATATTTGGACTTTCCACCTCTCCTAGTTCATCTGCCAGTCGATATTCTCTTTTTTTTTTCTGCCATTGGCGAGAGGGGAAACCTTCAAAAGGCACCACGCAATTGGTTCTGTATGCGTGATAGTGTGAGATTTTAACTCACTAAAACCCCTCGTTCTTCAAGTCCCAGTACTATGACTTCTCCTTGAAATCTGTAACAGATAACTTTCGAGTGTGTTTCAGTAAAATTTAGAACCATAATTTGTCTGTAAAGGGGACAAATGTGCATATGGGTCTGGACAAATGAAGCGTAAGTGTATAAATAATTTGTATGTACATGTAGAAAATATTTAATAAATATAACCTGTATATAAATATAACGAAATGGTTAGTCTCTTGTTAGCTTTGGTACAACATGGTTAGTATTACTATTGGTTAGTCATTATCGTCTTTGGTCTTTTGTGCTTCCACGGTTGAAGCTCGTCGTACCTTAACATTTCGCGTACCAGCGCGTTCTGGTGGGCTTCGCAGGTCACGAAGGTCTTCGTTGCCATATCCGCTAGCAAGTCCTTTACCCAAGGGACCTTCAGGTCCCGATGCAGCATCGCGTTCGAAACAAACCAAGGAGCATTCGTAGCAAGCCTTAGTGCCTTGTTTTGCACAACTTGAAGTTTGTTCAAGTGTGTCTTGGCTGCGTAAGCAAACACAGGAGCGGCGTACGTCATCACCGGTCGAATAACCGATGTGTACAGCCGCAGTTTGTTACTAAGACTGAGTGTGCTCCTTCGGTTCAGTAGCGGATAAAGAAGAGACATCACTGCCGATGCGTTACGAACGCAATAGTCGGTGTGATGCTTCCAAGTTAGTCCGCGGTCTAGCTTGACACCAAGGTACTTGACTGCGGTCTTCCACGGGATCTGGCGGCCGAAGAGGGTTACGTGGCCGGTCGAGATCTGTCCTCTCTTTTGGTGAGGAAAAGCGCGCTGCTCTTTTCCGTGTTCATCGCTATTCGCCAGCTCCTGCACCACTCCTCCAACTCATCGGCGGCTTTCTGTAGGCGTGCGGTGACCAAGCGGGGTGCTAGGGACCTGGTTATCACAGCGGTGTCGTCAGCGTAGAGGGCAAGCGTCGTGTCTGCAGTCCTTGGTGTGTCTGCAGTATAGAGTGCGTACAAAAGTGGCGATAGCGGTGATCCCTGGGGTGTCCGGCTTCCATGTTGCGGGGACTAGAGCGAACGTTTTCCAATCGCACAGTAAACCTGCGGTCTCGGAGGAACGAGGCAATATTTTTGACTAGACCTGGGTGAAAACCTGCACAAAAAAGTTTAAAAATTAGCCCATTGTGCCATACCTTATCGAAGGCCTTGGAGACGTCCAGAAAAATCGCTCCCGTCGATTGTTTGCGGTTGTAGCCGTCCGTCGCGAATTCTACTACACGTAGGACCTGATGCATAGTGGAATGCTTGGCCCTAAAACCAAACTGTTCTGCCGGCACCGAGTCGTTTCGTGAGGCTTCTTCGCGCAACCAGGCCAGCAGGACTCGTTCGGCAATCTTCCCCAGGACTGGTAGAAGACTGATGGGCCTGTAGTTTTGAGGGAACGTCGGGGATTTTCCTGGCTTCTGAAACAAAACTACGTCCGCGGTTTTCCATTGCGTTGGAAAGTACCTTAAACGTAGTATCGCATTTGTAATATTGACCAACGACATGATGGCTTTTGCCGGTAGAGCCTTTAGAGCTCGTGCTGGTATTCCGTCGGGACCAGGAGCTTTCCTGGAGATTGTGGCCTTGAGCAGATTTTTAATCTCCGTGGGATTGGTTGGTTTGATAAATCCAGCGTGTTCCGTTCTCAGTATCCTCCCGACGTCTCGGTCGATTTGTTCGATGCGGTCTTCGTCGTTTGGGCGGAAAGCGTTCTCCAGGCAGTCCGCGAACGCTTCTGCCTTTTCGCTTGGTGTGTACACGATGCCTCGATCTCCATGTATAGGCGGGAAGCTACGAGGTTGGCCCTTTAGCGACTTTGCTAACTTCCACAGGGAACCTGGAACCTCATCAACGTTAGTGAGCCTTACCTGCCACCGCTCGCTGTGGTAGTCCTGTAAGGCGTCCTTTACTTCTGTTACGAGTCGATTCATCTCTGTCCGGTCTTCCGGGTTCCGGGTGCGTTGCCATCGACGCCGAGCCCTATTCTTTTCCCTAATTAGTCTGACGACCATGTCCGGTACTCTGATTGGGACCCTCGATGTCGTATATGTTCTTGTCGTTCGTTCCAGCGACGACAGTATTGCGGCTGTTAAGGTGTCGACTGCGTTTTCGATATCCTGTTGGTTCCGTATTACTTCGATCTTAGGAAAATTTTCCTGAAGATGGTCGGTTAATGCGGGTCAG